TTTATTTTATATTTTCACTTTATTTTAATTTTAGTTTTAGTTTTAGTCATTTTGCAATGTGCTTTTTACTGTTTATTAGTTTTTAATCTCTAATGTATTTTTAGTACTTCCACTTACTTTACTTTATTTATTTGCCAAGGCAACATTTATCATTTTTGTTTGAGTTAAGTGTACGTTTTTTTGTCTAATATTTAATTGTATTATTTCAGCCTTATTTCCATTAACAAAAATACTTTTTAATAGCTTAAAAGTTTTAGTTATCCTTACGAAAAAGAAGTTTAAACTAAAACAGTCTACATTTTATGTACTTCTCAGAAATATACTTAAAATTGGACTGAAGTAAAAACTATCAAGTGTTGATAAAGCTAAATAAAATGTTTTTAAAAAGGAAAGAGTTAAAGGTATATTTCCAGTATAAAAAATGAATACCTAAATAGGAACATAGTGGTATACTTAAAGTGCAAAAATAATATATAAATAGTAAACTACAAGTATGATGTTGTTCACTTAAAGAAAACTTACAAGTATACTTGCAGTATAAAACAACTAAACTAGTAGTTTACTGAGAGTATACTTAAAAGTGTACTTTCATTAACTAAAACAAATAGCTATTTGACTAGTAAACTATCAATATACCTATAATTTTACTTAAAAAACTTTCAAAGCTCAAAGTTTACTACTGTTATTCTAATATTACACTTACTAGTATACTTTTATACATTAAAAAGTGGGCCAATTTAGTCCTAAGTATTGAAACATAAGTATACTTACAAGTACATTGATATTAGTATACTTACTACATAATGTACACTTATAATATACTTCAACTTTACTTAAGTATACATAATAAAATTAACTAAAGTATATTTATTTTTTGTAAGAGTATAAAAACAATGATTAATGCTATCACTCTATACTCTTTTATATTTTATACTCAATTCTGTCTATTTTCATGTTTTTTAAAGTAATATGAATCTAAAGTCTTTGTTTTTAACGTACACTGAAAAAAAAAAGATTCTTGTTCAACATACTCCAATAATCTTGGTTTTATTTACAACTTAAAAAAAAAAATCTATACAGTGTATTAATTTACAGCATTGCCTAAATGTGTGTGTGTGTGTGTTTGCAGAGCTGCTGTGAGACCTGGAATAGATGCAACCTCACCTACACCGGTAAAACGGAGACATTTACTGTGTCTAGTTTCACTGCTTTGATCATTTATGATCACTGGGTTCATTTAATTGCTCATTTTTAATTATTTACATTCGTGTCTATATGTGTGCAGCCGCTGTCTCCACGTCTCGCAGGTCTGCCGTCTATAAACGAAGCCAAGGTTCTCTTCGTGAAACACTGTGTCAAGGTAAAACCTGTCAGTTTGAGCATGTATTGTTATACATGTACAGTATACATACAGTACGTACGCACATGTATATACGTACAGTATGTTGATATGCGTTGTCTGTAGGGCTCGTACTGTAGGCCCCTGGATCTGCATAACCTGCTGACTGAAGCCATTGCAAAGGGAGGTGAGAAAATGTTTATTCAAACGGTGCTTTTCATCCATTTACTTCTTTTTTTTCTACATTTGCATTTCAATGCAAAACACTCTTAGCAGGAGAAGTCATGTTTACTGTTCCTCTCCAGTGCCGTTATAATGCAATTCTTTTCATTCGTTCTGGAAGCGGAGCTGAAAACCATACGGGAAGTGATGCGTTAACCAGTGAGGAAGTGAGTTTGTTGATGTTGTTTCTTGTTTTCTGTCCGGTCAGTTTTCGCAGGTAGTGAGAAGAAACTGAGTTTGGAGCAATGCAAGAGTTTTGTGGTGCTCATGGACGTATCCTGTATATCTAGTGCACTTTTTTTACTTTAATAATATTTTTAATGAATTTAAAAAATATATATTTTTAGTTATCATGATCATTTTTGTTTCATTTTTAATCATGTTATTTTGTAATTTTTTATTTTTATTATATATATATATATATATCTTTAATCTATTTTGGTTTAATTGTTCTTTTAATTTCAGTTTTAGTTATTTATATCCAGTTAATAATTTTAGTGCTTTGACTTAAAGGTATAGTTCACCCAAAAATGAAAATTACCCCATAATTTACTCACCCTCAAGCCATCCCAGGTGTAAATGACCTTTTTTCTTTCAGCCAAACACAATCTGAGTTATATAAAAAAATATCCTGGCTCTTCTAAGCTTTATAATGGGAGTGAAAGTGCATCCATCCATCATAAAAGTAATCCATACGACCCCAGGGGGTTCATAAAGGCCCTCTGAAGCGAAGCGATGCGTTTTTGTAAGAAAAATATCCATAACTTTATACATTATATAGCCACTGGCTTCCGTTAAAGGGATTGTTCACTTTGAAATTAATTTTTGGTATGTTTTAGCTTTCCTCAAGGGCATCCAAGATGTAGGTGTCTTTGTTTCCGCAGTAGTTTCAATTTTGATATTTTTAGGTCAAACCGTTCTTGTCTGTCAGTCATATAATGCAGGTCTATGGTCACCACCTCAAAGAGCATGCACAGAGAAGTCCAAATTAAACATGATTTAATGACTCGTAAATGTAAGTACACATTGATGGCCTGAGACGCGAAACGAGCGGTTTGTGTGAGAAAACGAACAGTATTTATATCGTGTTTACCTCTTGTAACCACAGCCGCGTCCAAGTAATCTGAGGCTTCGGTCTGCGCAAGCGCCGGAAAGCGCCGGAAGTGAAAACCCACCACTCCCGGATGAGTTTGCGCGAGCATACGTAATTGTTTTCGTTTACGACGGTTTAAACATCCCGGATAAGCGCAAATTAGTACCATTTTAACTAGCCGTCTTACCTACAATCTCTATTCTGTGTAAACAATGAGTGACGTACACGCGTGAGAGATCACTTCCGGCGCTTGCACAGACCGAAGCGCCGCGCCCTCAGATCACTTGGACGTGGCTGTCGTTACAAGAGGTAAAAACGATATAAATACTGTTCGTTTTCTCACACAAACCGCTCGTTTCGTGTCTCAGGCCATCAATGTGTACTTACATTTACGAGTCATTAAATCATGTTTAATTTGGACTTCTCTGTGCATGCTCTTTGAGGTGGTGACCATAGACCTGCATTATATGACTGACAGACAAGAACGGTTTGACCTAAAAATATCAAAATTGAAACTACTGCGGAAACAAAGACACCTACATCTTGGATGCCCTTGAGGTAAGCTAAAACATACCAAAAATTTATTTCAAAGTGAACTATCCCTTTAACAGCCGTACACGAGTCTAGTTCCGGCTAAAGAGTAATATTCCACTGTTTTACTATATTTTGATCAAATAAATGCAAGTCTTGGTGAGCAGAAAAGATAAAAAAATCTGAATTATTCCAAACTTTTGACCGATAGTGTATCATCATGCAACAGTTTGTTTCACATTCTATTTCTAAGAATAGTTTTCTGTATATATATATGTATATGCTAGTACATTCTCAGCATAGCCCGGGTCTTATCTCAGTCGCCTCGGGCACATCTGGGTGTGTGAGGTATTTTATGGTGCAATTCAAAAGAATGCATAAGATTGGGTGGAGTTCGGAATGTCACCTTAACTGCACCAATCAGAGCCAAGGAATGGGTCGACTCGATTTGCCAGAGTTCCAGGCATTGTGGGAAAAACTCCGGAAGTGGACGGTGAGGACATTTACCTGTTTAAATGAACGTGTAGGGAGTGTTTGATTACGGTGAGGTGAAGGCAGTGTGTTTTCATGTCACATGACAAATGACATCATCGTAATCATCATGTATTTCACCTAAAACGGATAATTCTTTTATAATTTACCTTCATTTTGGATGAACTATAGAGTGTATTAGTGCCCGCTTACTTTTTTAGCGCCGTTGGTTCCGGAATAATTTTTTTCCATTCATTTCTCCCATAAGGATTTTTAATAATAAACAATGAACCAAGCCAATCAGCAATGAGGTGAATCACAACACTACAAACTTTGATTTGAAGCAAAAAAGTATTTGAAAATCGGACACAAGGTACAAAGAACATAAACTTTAGCTTTATACAACAGCTTTAGAGAGGCAAAGAACTACAATCCCAAGCATTGCAAACAGGATAATCAAATTAACAGTGATGGAGAAATATGAAATCTTGGGTGGAGTGGGCGGAGCTAACGTGATCTTTCGACTCTCTGATTGGTGGAATTGTCTGTACATCATCATGGGTAATTATTATGATTATTTTCAAACTTTTTAAAGCAAATACCCTCAATCAACAACCTCGTTGCTCACAGTAGCGCTGTCTTTAAAGCTTAATAAGTTATCATTCAAAATCAATTTCCTCATGGAGAAAATGAATGGAGTTTTTACTTCTGGAACCCGACTGTTGCGCTCTGTTGTTTCATGGAATTGATTAATATTCATTACTACATTTTAGAGCAAATAAAGACTGGATTACGTGATTATTCACCCTTCTGTGTGTCTTTGTAGGGTATTTTTATGACATTTGACAAAAACAAGAACCAATCGCTGGATTATCAAGAAATCTCCCCCGCTCTGTCAGCAGCAGGTGAAACCTATGACACACACTTACTCACACTCACACTCACACGCACATAAATGCAAGTATGAGCATGCACACACACACACACACACCCTATACACTCATTGACGCAACAGTTTGTTTATAGAATGAACACATACACACACATTCTGTTACTCGGACACTATTAGTGAAATGGTTTCCCACACACGTCAGGCTGTAACACACCCAGCTTTCAGAAGAGAAACCTGTTCATTCATCTGTGAGAGGAATGTTGAAGGAGGAGTGTGTGGGCTGGTCATCAGGGTGATCTGTGCTCGTCTGCTCTGGTCTAGGCATACAGGTGGATGAGTTCATACTGCAGCTCATCGGCCTGCGCTACACAGAGCCAGACATGACCGTCAGCTTCCCGGGATTCCTCTTCCTGCTCATGAAACTGGACTGCATGATGCGTAAGAACACACAAATCAAAGTCAAATTACTGTAGCAGTTATTGCAAAGTGGTCCGAAATTAGTGTTTGAACACACTTGGCATTGCATAAGAAACAACATCAAATCATTTATATAAAATAAAAATAGTGTATTTTTCATGCATAACATTTCAGAAAAAGAAGTTTGCATGGTTTTAATAGTAAAATAGTAAATAATATACTGTTTAGAAGGCCCTGAAAAGTATTTCGACTTAAGCCACACATTTAAAAGTGTCACTGTTGTTTGTGTGCGTGTGTGTGTGTGTGTTTGTCTTTGTCTTCAGGCAAGTTTCAGTCCTTTGATATGACGGGAATGGGAATGATTTCAGTGAATTGCAGACAGGTAAAAACATGAAACACATGAGAGCGTTGAGCATCTCACACACACACACACACACACATTCAATATTTCATCCTGTGAACCTCTTTGATCTGCGACCTGTCAGATCCAAGCTTCCTAATTCTTCTTAACTGTCTTTCTGCAACATGACTGACAGTTATTACGTGAGTCAGACGTGAATTTCTTATCTTGTGAAAAATGTGATTTATTTACTGTGCGCCAAATGAATATTTATGTTTGTTTCTTTCGCTCTTCCTCTTGATTTGTAGTTTCTGCACATGACCATGTACAACTGATTCCAGACCAGCTGCAGGAAAACAACACACATCTGCTTAATAAAAAACAATTCTACAGAAATTGGTGTAATATTTTTTTTGTAGTAATAGGGTATAATAAATATAATATTATACCCTATATATAAATATAATAATATATATTTTTTAACGTTATTATTTATTATTATTTGTTACTAATAATGTAGTATTATTTAATGTTATTACATTTAATAATAATAATAATTTAAAGTTTAATTATTAGTGTTTTTTATATTTTAATGATTTATTGTTTGAGTAGCACTATGATCAACATTGTTGTATTATTTTAGAAATAAATTGGAATAATAATAAATTAAAAACGAAAATTTCTTAAATGTATAAAAATGTTATAAAATGATACAAATAATAATAAATAATATATATTCTAAAATATTAATAATGCTTTAAAGTAGTCATGAAACAGAAGTTGCGATAGTTTTTTTCTTCTCTATAGTGACGTATATCCGAGTGAAGCGGCTTCTCGAACAAGAACAAATGTAGGGCGGGGCTTGATTGGATGGTTGTGGTTTGCTATTGGTCAATCTCATGTGATTGACAGGTTGCCCCGCCCTCACGCCAGTAAACACATCATCAGAGAAGAGATGTTGCTGTGAGAGGGAGGGGAAGTTAGTATTCTGATTAAAGATTACGAGGCACATTCACAGATAAATCATTTATAATAAATACTGCAATATTCCATAAAAAATAGGAATTGTCAATTTTGATTTCATGGTGACTTTAAACGAAACTCATTGTGATCTTTAAATGTGTTGTTCCTCTGTCTGGAGACATGTTCCGTTAATATTTATGACAGTGAGAACTTTTGAGAGCACACATGACTGGGAAATATCCCAGAAAATGAAATATGTGTGGACAGTGGACGGGATCAGTTCAGGAATCTTGCATAAGCTTTTGGGTCTGTAAAATGTCCCAGCTATGATTTATGACATGCTGCTGCTTTGATTTGCAAAACAGTAAATGATTCAAATAAGCAACTGATTTGTATTAGGATATTACAGAATATAGAAGAGATTACCTATAAATAAAGATCAATATCAATCATTGGAGGTGTGTATGGGTTTGATGCAGTTTAATACTCAGGATTTGGGTATTGTAAACAATACAGCGTATGTTCGATGCTCATCTGTCTGATGTTGACCCACTTCACGTTCCCTTTGACAGACTCCATGAAATTTTAATGTTAGGTTTAAGCAGCTTATAGCTGTCAGAGAACCAGACCAGTTTAACCTCAAGTCATACACATTCATGTGTTTTTTTTCCTTAAACAATATGTGTTATTAGAACTGTACACAGTGGAATTGAAACGAAGCTTAGAAAAACAACGCAACCGGCTGGTGAGTGTTTCGTGGAAAGTGTATTAATAATAGATTCACTCTTTCTGTTTGTGTAAAGTTAGAAGATACAGGATACACTGATGTGCAAGCCAAAAATAAATATCTTTAAAGTGACATTTTCAAAGCCCATTGCTTTTGATTACATTTAAATATAATAATAGATATAATTATATACACATTTGATTTAAAATATATTTATATAATGTGAGTAATATTTTAATTTACATTAAAATACTGAAATATATATATAATATACATGTATAAAATGTTTGTGTGTGTGTATGTAAATATGTAAATTATATATCGATACATTTTAATAGCCTATATTATATAATATACATATTTATATACATGTATAAAAATGTATATATATATATATATATATATATATATGTGTGTGTGTGTATATATATAAAATATGTAAATTATATCAGTACATTTTAAATATAATTAATATAAAAAATATTTCAATATTAAGTATATACACATATTATATAAAATATATTTATACAATGCAAGTGATATTTTAATTTACATTAAATACTTAAATACATAATATATAACATACATATTTATATACATGTATTAAATTGATATATATATATATACATACATTTGATATATGTATATAAAATATGTAAATAAGCTAATTATATATCAATACAATTAAAAAAAATCTATGTATATAATGCAAGTAATATTTGAATTTCCATTAAAATACTTTAATTAAATAAATTATATAAAATATACATATTTATATAGTGTATATATACAAATTTATGAACATGTATATGAAAATCCTAAATATAATATGATAAATCCAAAATATTTAAATATAATTAGAACACGTCATTTATTTATTTTAAAATAAACAGTGCAGTTCACACGCCCTTTCAGAAAACCTTAGATTAGATTTCGTGTTTTGAACTCCTCAGTGAATATTTTCACATAAAATGCACAAATTCACACTTTCTATTCTTAAAAATAGTTCCCTCTGCGATATCATCCAATCGCAGAAGCCCACCCAGTCCGTGGGTAGAGCTAAGGTCGGATATCTTCTGAATAAGTAAATGGGTCATTTAAATATTCATGAGTTTCTCGGGCCTACTACCTCCTCCTCAGTGGGAGCGGCGCGTCTCTCCTACTCCATTTTTCGTCAGAAGGAAGGGTGGAGGAACACACTTTCGGCGGGGATCCTGTCAGTCCACGCAGCGGATACTTCACACCGAGAGCAACAAAGACTTCGAGAGCGAGTAGTGCAGTCTCATTCCTTCTCGTTGGTCGGTTAGGAAGAGTCTTTACAGTGCCCTTAGGGTTTGTGACATGGTAGATTATCACGCTGCTAATAATCAAACACATTATTCGTACAGCGGTCAACAGCAGAGATACATGGAGCAGGAGAACGATTGGGATCGGGACCTACTACTGGACCCGGCCTGGGAGAAGCAGCAGAGGAAGGTAAGAGGTTCTGACGGGGAAAAGCTCGGGGGCCGCCGCAGGGGCCTGTGTTAGGAGCATATTTGTGTGAATAACACGTTTTTAGTCACACATAATGCGCTTTATTATCATTAGACGGCGTTTATACGCGCTTAGAACTCGCTTCGAATGTTGGAATGTTTCGCGGGTTTCGAATGTTACGGTGTTACAATGTTTCAGCCGTGCGCGCGCGTGTGTGTGTGTGTGCGTGAGTGAGTGATACATTGTAACGGCTGAACCTGTTTTACTAGTGCGAGTTTCATTCGCTAGTGTTGCTTTTTCTCCCTGACTCTGTTCTTTCTCAAAGCGACATTTGGACTCCTAGTTACAGCCAGACATCCGGATTTAAAATGGCAGTAGCGGTAGATATCACAGTACAGAAGCTTAAAATAGCTGCCGAAAGGCTGTTTCTGGAGTTTATCTGCTGTTCTGGAGAGGAAAGATAAGCTTTAAAAGAAGAAGAAGAAAATGAATCTAACAGGCGCGTTTATATATTTAGTTCACTCCCTTTTCCATGTAAAATCAGATTGATAGTGTGTGTTCTAGTGTTTTATGCTCATGAATTATAGTGAGGAATTTGAATGACGTTTTTGGGTGTGTGTCTTTTGGGGGAAAGGAAGGCTTGACTGATTTGCCGTTTTGTGTGTGTGACAGACAGGATATCAGATTGGGTTTTTCAGAGAGAGTTTGAGAAAGGAAGGTCAAAGTTTGATTGGACAAATAATCAATTATTAACCCACCGGAGCCCCTCAAGCAAACGCACACAGAAATATATCACGTATATATATATATATATATATATATATATATATATATATATATATATATATATATAGACACAGTCACTGCCCTTCAGACCCCAGAGGTATAAACGGACTCATAACTGGGGCATTTATTTGAGAAACTCGAGTGGAGGAGGAGATTGACTGAATTCTTCAGCGCCCCTCCCCCTTTTTGTACTTGTTTTGTTACACTTTTGAGGCCAAATTTCTGTAAACTGTTTCAAATGGCTGATATCGATGACTGTCCAATACAGTGTATAGTACAATTTGACTAGTGCAAATAAGATGAATTTAAACAACAGAATTGGCAATGTCTATTGCTATATATCATGCATCAAATCCCTGTCAAATATCAGTGATATAGGTGTCACATCTGTCTCTTTGACAGTACTTTTTTTTTTTTTTTACTGAGTCATAAACACACTCCGCCTTGGTTAAATCTGGTTGGCTGACATATTTTTTCAAGGTGGACTTGTATAGAGTGGGTTTGTGGTTGGGGGATTGGTTTGATCTAATTGATTATTTTTGTTATTGCATACTACCATGCTGCTTTAAATTGTAGTAGCCTATGTAGTGTGTATAATGCATAAACAACCTGTGAACTTACTACTTTTGCCAAATTGTGGAGAGACAAAAGAGCACAGTGCATGGAAGACTGTATCCCACAATGCAACTCGCATTGTAGTTTGACATGACCTTCCATTTCCAGTGTCTAAAATGTCATTTTTTTTAAAATATATAATGGGGTTATTATCGTAATTTGCTTAATTATTATTATTATAAGTGTGTTGTTTCTCCACCACTAGTGGCACTAAACAGAATTGTGCAAATAATTACTGTTATCAAACAAGTTTCACACTCCGATTATCTGTTATTGTTTAGTCAATCAGATCCTAAGTGACATTTGCATTTCCTTTTGGTGCAACAAGTGCACACACTTCAAGTCTGCATGTTTCTGCACTGGAAGTTTAGTGAACGTCACTTCGATCTCGATTCCCCATTGGTCGTTAAAATGACATCTTGGCTCTGGAATTTCTATTGCATGTTTATGTGTATGGATGTCACACACAGACCGAAGTCTTCTTGTGATTACCAAACCAACGCATCCTTTATAAAACCCCACACTGAGTTTCATTACAGTCTCCATGCACCACTGCCTATTCCGCTTGACCGAAACAAGGCGTGTGGAATCATACCGAAGTCATACCCTTATCCGTGACAGACGTGAAATTACTCCCCAACAAATGCCAAACAAACACCCTTTGACCGGCTAAGACTTGCCTCTCCGCTCCACCCAAAATGTCTGAAAGGCCATTGAAGTGTTTCAGTCTCCACTGAACAGCCTGTTTGGGCAGATATGAATTCAAATAAGATGCTGTGATTGAATGGGCTTTGTTTTTGCAGT